TATTGATTTCAGAGAGGAAGGGAGAGATAGAAACATCAATGATGAGAGAGAATCATTGATCCTGACTGGGAATGGAGCCGTGATCTCCTGGTTCACAGGTCGATGCTCAACCACTGACCCAAACACTTTTTCTAATGGGCTTCTTCTCTCTCTGGAGAACCACGTGTTGTCTTCCCAGACCAAAGTTCCACTTCTATGTCCTCACAGTCGTGAGCCATGCTGGTCCTCTGTCCTCCTGCCATCTCTCCTCCTGGTCCCCCATGGCTTATCTACCTCTGCCCGTGGGTTGTGGGGAGGGACAGCAGGTGTGGCCCAGATCCCGCTTCACCACACTGGCCCTGTGACACTGGGTAGGCTAGTTAACCCCTGGATCTTCTGCCCCTGTCTCTGAGATCACAGCATGGATATGATACTTGCTGAGATGACAAGGAGCTGGCACATGACATACATTTAAATCATTACAACCTACTATGATAGGAGAGTTGAGATTAATAAGGTGTGGATATAAAGTGCCTAGCAAAATGCCCAGCATGTAGTAAGAACTTAATACCAGGAATGAAGGAAAGTGAGTGAGTTAGATGGGAAGCCTGGGAGAAGGGAGTGAGTCATGGGGGTGACAGCCGAACCAAGAGAAACATTCTCTTATTTCCGTGCAGGTCACAAGCAGTGTTACCCAAGTCCCTGCCTGGGTCCCAGGTGAGTCCCTCCGCCTGTTGGCTCCCAGCTCACAGAGAGGGGAGGGAAGGAGAGACCTTCATCCAGTAGTGGAGTTAGGACGTGAGCTGATACATGGGCTCAACTCAGATGGGGTCTTGGGTGACAATGTGACATCTGAGTGCTTTTCCGGGGGATCCATGCACCTGAGGATCCGGGGTTGGGGACAGGGCACTGTTCCGAGGTCAGAAAGCTGGCCCCCGCTTCCTCACTATAAAACGGACGCGAACGCCTGCCCTGCTGCCTCCCAAGGCTGACGAGATGTGGATGTTCCCGGCAGAGCTCTGTGAACTGTAAAGCGCTTTGCAAACAGGAGAAGAGCACTGGCGTGGGAACCAGGAGACCGGCGTTGGCTCTGTGTCCAGGAAGCCAGGTGGCCCTGGACAAGGGGCCCTTTCCGCAAGCTCAGTCTCCTGCCTGCGAAACGGAGGGTGAGACTGACGGGCTCTAAGACCGATGAGCTGTCAGATTCTCTGACTCTATCTGGGGCCGGTCAGGCCTCAGGAGGCTAGGAGGCTAGGAGGTGAGGGGTGACCCACCCTAGGCTCCACCCCTTGCTCTTGGAGTTAGCACAGCAGAGAGGAGTGAGGGCCACTGCCAGTAACCTGGAGGGAGCACTGTCCCAGGTGGGAAGGCAGCTGGCCAAGGGGCTGTGCCCACCTGCTCCCCCTCTCCCCTGCCCCCTACAGGAGATGCCACAGGAAGGCCAACGCCACCACTGCCTGGACAGGGGAGTCTAGAGACCCGGGAAGAGCAAGTGACCACCCCCACCGACGTGCTGGTGGCCCTGGGCCCCCCAGGTACCTGCAGCCGGCCCTGAGAGGTGGGGGTGTGACGGCCCAGAGCCGACTCGGGGCCTCTCCACCAAATGAACCCACAGTCTGCAGCCATGCCCCCCAAGCTCAGGGGGCTCATCTCAGGACCACATGAGTCCTGCCTGGCGTCTGGTGCACGGGTCCAGCGGGGAAGGGGGAAGAGAAGGGACATCTTGGGGCAGGGTCTCGCTCAAAACGCTTCCAGGAGAGCCCAGGGGCCCCTGGAGGATGGGGAGCCTCCGGAAGCCGGGCTCTTCCAGGCTGTTGACTCTGAGTCATCTGAGTGTCCTGGCAGAGGGCAGCCTCCGGCCCATGGGAGGGGCGGCTTTCGGGAAGGTTGGGTTCTCAAGGTTGTTTAACTGCCGGGGAGCCTGTGTCCCCCCCCTCCACCTCGGGCTATAATGCTGAGAGGGTGCGGGGCGGGGAGATTCCTGGCAAATCCACCTCGCTCTGGAATGTGCCCTCCTCAAGGCTCTTTGTTTGGGGACTTGGCTCAAGAGAAGCAAGGCCAGTGTTACCTCCTGCTCCCTGCACACGTGTGAGCTCACGTGCGGTCTTGTGTGCGCCCTCACACGTGCCCAAGTTTGCTGAGCTCTTAACCTCGCAGACTGAGGCCACCTTGGCGGAGACAGGTCTTTCTGGATTTCCCCTGGCAAAGGGAGAGACCCCGCAGCCTGATGGAACCGTCCAGAAAATGTGGGGTGCAGTCGGGGTTTGTCTTCCTGGGCTGGAACCATGGCACCCCATGGTCCCTCCCAGGCCCTCTCCCCTCTGGGCTCAGTGCTGCTCCTCGTCCCCCCTCCACCCGACAGCAACATGAGCTGGGAGAAGGGGCTCAGCTCCAGAGTCTCTGATGAAGAAAATGGGCCTGGAGGCAGAGGGGTGGGGCAGGAGGGGCCAGGCCAGGCTCAGCCGCAGCTCTAAGGGGGACAGGATCCCCCAACCACCACCAAAACCTTGTGCCTGATCCCCCATCTTCCCCGTCACCCCCCAAACTCACCCCTCGGGGAGGACATTTAGAATCTGGCCGGGGGTCCCCATGAGTCCTGAGGCTGACACTTGAAGCCAGGCGAGTGGCAGGGTAGCCTGGCAAACAGGCCAGTGTGAACGTTCAGTTCAGTCCAGTTCAGCAAAGGCTGTGAAGCCCCGCTGCACCGTCACAGGCCACGTCCCAGCCCATGCCGTGAGGGTCGGGCAGGGAGCCCAGGGTGTAGGGGCTTCCCACGAAGACATCCGGGCGGACACAGAGGCTGAAAGCATCCTTCGTCCAGTCAGTGCTTTGTCCATTCAGCATGTGCTGAGTGCCGGGCGCTTTTCTAGTATTAAGGACACAGCTCAAAAAAGCCAGGGTCTCTGCCCTCGACGCAGCCTCGGCCCTGAGTCCTGGTGCATCTCCAAACTGTTTCTGAATTCAGCACCTGGCTCCTCACTTTCCACCCCACCACACACACACACACACACACACACACACACACACACACACACACACGGCGGTCCTTGTTTACATGGTTCTAGCAGGTTTCCAAGGGCCCCTGTGCCTCCCTTCCCATGCTGCTGAGCAAGGTGGCATGGCAGGATAAGTGGTGTTTCTGAGACAGCTCTGATCACACCCCACCTTGCAGGACCCCTTGCTTACATGTCTCAGGGTGGTATTCAAGGCCCCACCCCGTGTTTCCTAGCAGTTCTTCCCAGCACCCAGCTCACCAGATCTGTGTGTCAGCCTGTCTGTCTGTCTAGGGGACACTGGGAAGGACTTGCCAGGGAAGGGAATCCCTGGGCACTGTTGTGAGAGCCGGGCCTGTATTCAGGGTAAGGTTAGGCTGGAGACCTCAGCGGGGCGGGCCTGCGGGGACTCCGGACATGGGCCATTGGCATCTGCTTGATCTTTGTCGGAGCGATGCACTGAGAGCTCCGTCCTGGTGGGGCTCAGGGCCCTGGGAGCAGGTGTGGGAGGGAGGAGGGGGCGCAGCTTATACAAGCCATGTGGATGTGGGAGGGCCCAACTAAAGGTGAGATGAGGTTTCTGTGGGTCCTTTGAGGCCAAGGTACCCTGACCCCACACTCTTCCCACTCTCATC